TATTGAGCCCTGCTCTGGAGGTCTTAGATCACCATGTACATTGTAATAAATACTTGAACTGAGAAAACAGACTTTCCTTACTGCTCATAGAATTAGAGCCCTATCATCACTAGCAGGTAAGTATCTCCTGTGAGTCTTATTTTATATTTCAATTTTTGAGACAGGGTCTCATTGTGTAACCATAGCTGGCCTGGAACTCACTAGGTAGACCACTCCAATTCACAAAGGTCTGTCTACTTCCGCCTCCTGTGAGTTTTAAAACCCCTATTTCCAATTACACTACCCATCACTGTATCAGCAGGCCATTAACTAAGAATGGATTGAGATCAGTGTTGAGCTGTGAGACTGGTACCGGTGGTTCTCACACACTGTCAGTCTGACCTAGTGCACAGGGGCAGGACTCGGGGGCACATCTTCTCTGCAACTCTGAAAATTTCTAAGCCAGGCATACTGGTGAACATTTGGCTTTTTTTTTCTTTTTTCTTTTCCTTTTTTTAATTGGATATTTTATTTACAATGCAGATGTCATCCCCTTTCCTTATTTCCCCTCCCTAGAACCCCCTACCCCACCCCCCTCCTTTTTGCTTTTATACCATTTTGATTACATGAATGTATTAAGGTCAGTTCTAGGTTGAGGGTCTAGCAATACAATAGGTGCAAATAGTCAAGGAACAAGCAAGACAATAAACACAAACAGTCAAAGAAAAAGCAAGGCATTAAATCCAATTATGTGAACACTCCCGTGATCACTGTTTCTAAGGGCTTATCAGGATGATCAAGCCTGCTTGATCCTGTTTCCCTGAGACTGCTTCTCTGTCCTAGCCCAAGGTCATTTTCATGTCTGAAGCCTACTTCCTTGTTCTAGCCTAAAATTTAGATTCCTGTCTGAAATTACTTCTTTGTTCTAGCCTAATATTTAGATTCCTACCTGAGATTACTTCTTTGTTGTAATCTAAGATTTAGATTCCTACCTGAAATTACTTCTTTGTTCTAGCCTAATATCAGATTCCTGCCTGAAGCCTACTTCCCTGTCCTTGGCCAATGTCATATTCCTGCCAAGCAGCCCATTTCCTTGTCCTTGGCTGGAGGAGGAAGACAACAGCAGAGACAATGACAATTGGGGAGAGAAGAGAGAGAGGACGACTGGGGAGAAGAGAGGAGAGAGGAGAGAGAAGACTACGAAGGAGAGGATGACTGGGAAGCAGGAGGTAGAAGGACAAACGCAGGGTCTGGAAAACCCTCAGGCTTTATAAGGGTCTCATAGCTGGGGAACAGAGTAGTGTAGGGGTATCTGCCCAATCTAGGCTTACAGAATATATTCATAATTACTGAGTTGTGTTTTCATTGATAGGTCCTATTCGGGTTGGAGATTTAAATATCTCCCACTACACTTGGCCCATGTCAGATTTTTGCCAAGCAGCCCCAAAGGCTCTCCACCTCTCTCCCTTTTTTATTTCATTAACAAGACTGAGCCTGTCTTAGGTCATTCTGACAAGAATGCCTTCCTTACCCATTGTGGAATATGCATTATCAAAGGCAATGCACTTATGTCTTATATTGGTAAGGCTCTGTGCAGAATCTTACCCATCCTCGGCTTGCCAGCCTGTTAAATTAATAACTTTGTCTGGGGGTCCATTTTCAGTTTCAAGTCATGTACTTTGGCTGCCAGCCTGTTGATGTAGTTAGAGACAAGTTTTAACATGATGGGCAGGAATAAAAGTATTCCCAGGACAAGAAGGGCTAGCCTGATCAAGCTATATATACCATTCCTGAGGTCTGACCAAAATGGAAATACTGACCTCAGGCCATGGATGATTTTATCGGCGTTATCTGCAGCATCAAAGTTTAACAGAGCAGCATTCTTTAAATTCATAATCTCACTACACAAAGTAAACACACCAGAGAGGTGTTAGGATTATGCCAAATATCTTACAGGTGTCTTTAAACTTTTTTCTAATTATAATGACAATCATTGTAAATTTTAGAAGTAACACTACTCCAATGATATTTGTCATGACACTTGGGATGGCTCCTAACTCTTGAACCCTGAACCTCCTTCAGATAATTTAAATAGGTTATAGAGCATCTTCTGTTGTTCCAGATATAAATCCTTTTGTATACTCAATACATTAGTAATTTTTTTTGCTAGATGGTTAACAAAAATACTTGTCTCAAAACTCCTTGTGTCAATGCTATTGCAGAAGCAGTGGTGCTAGCAATTAATGGAAGTAAAGCTGTTATATCAGCAATAATCAAGCCGGCTACCCTCTTGCTTCTTCTTAAAGCCTAACTTACTTCTTCCAGTACTTTCAAGCTTTTTTCAGAGAATCAAGGTTTTCTAATACTCAGGGCAGTAAGACAAAAGCTGGTTGATAGACCCACTGGTGAACATTTGTTATCCCAGAACTTGGGAGGCAGAGGCAGGAGGACTCGGAGTTCAAAGCCAGCCTAGGCTGAATAGCAAGGTCCCATCTTGAGAGAGAAAACCAACCAACCAACCAACCAACCAACCAACCAACCAACCAACCAACCAACCAACCAACCAACCAACCAACATCTTATTACCAAATTAAGTGACTACATAATGCTCAGGGAAGAAATATGGCAGCTGAAGGCACCTACATGGCTTTTCAAACACCAACTGACTTTTAACAGGTTGTTACATGTAACATTTTAACATTGTAACATGATTGTAACAGAATCATGGGCATGATGTAAAGGTTTGTTTTTTAAATTCTTTAAAGGTATTGAATTGTATGAATGCTACTATTTTCTAAATCTTGACTGGTTTTCTTGGGGGCAGGATAAAACGGGTAAACATTAGAGTGCTTCATACAGACAAATACAATTGTAACTATGGTACTGCCCTTTGTACGGCTCTGCCAGGCATCTTTGTTTCCTTCTCTGCTGTTGCCCAGCACCTCCACCTTCTGACTCTTCCAGCGGCCTAGGAGAGGCCTTACACAGTCAGCACCCGATTCCAGATGCTGGTGATGCCTCCTTAAACCCAAGTTAATGAAGCTAGACCACCAGAGGGTCACCTCTCAAGGTCTTCCTTCCTTGTAGCTATCTGTCCCTGCTTTATCAGCCTCAATCAGCCAGATTTACAGAACAGGTTTCAGAACACTCTGGAGTGTTACAACCCACACAACTGTTTGTATTTACTCTCCTTTATGTATGAGTCAGCCACATGTTTATTTGCACCTGCAGCTCTGTACCTAAAAATAAAAGCATAGTCACATTCTGGAGAGAACAATAACAGGTTTGATCTAACATGATGATGTCATCTCCTAACTTAGAAAGATCAGTTCTAATGGAGAAAGGAACTTGATAAAGACAAAAGGCATGCTGTTGGTGACTCCCGCAACATCTATCACACCTGATGCCACCATGCACTGAACATCTGATGAGATAGGAGACAGGCTCAGACAAGAGACATACAACAAGCTCTGTTTTCTATAATGTCCAGAAATACCAGCCACACATACTGTGTTCATGCAAACTCCTTTACCACATGGTCTCAAGGCAGACGTGGCATCGATTCTATAGAAACAGAACAATGTTTTCCAAACCATGAGTTTTGTTTAATCAGCAAGTTATGAAATCAGCTTAATGAGCTGAAATCAGTATTGCTTTAATATTAAAAACTCACTGTGGTAATGATAATCATTCTCTTGTGAAATTGGCTTTCATTTTAGAAGCACACATATACATACAACTACATGTTACATGACAAAGATAAATAGATCTATTGAAGGTCTGAAAAATACTCCACAGAAACATTTATGTTTTGAATTGTTAGTTATAAAGAGACTATTAACGTCAATAACAAGTGATTCTTATTATCCTACAGCTTAGTGGGTATATAATCATCATCTAAGTATATATTTGCCATATGTTTGCTCTGGCTTGAATCCTAATATGACTGAAGGAGACTGAAGCCCACTTTCTGACTCTCAGCTGGTTTACCTGTCAATATAAGGACTACTTACTCTGTATTGAGCACTGTGCTGGCCTAGCAGATACCTAGACATTTCGAATACACTACATATCTTTGCACACATCTCTCAAGTGTGAGCTAGTCTCTTATGTGTCGGAGGAGGCAGTGCTACCCACAAGGAGTGGTACCTTGCCCATGTCTCATCTAAAGGAGTGGCCGGGCCAATATGGAAGCCATGAAAAAGCTTCACAAAGCTTAGCTGAATTACTCTCTGTGAAAGATTCAGAAGACACTGGTTTGCACTGACTGTTTCTGGGATGAGCACCTTGGAAGTGGCACTTAGGAAGTTTCTGCTGACAGGGCAAAGGAGCACTAGGAGAATGTGGGGTGGGCAGAGTGGCTGACAAGACTCTGGCATCAGAAGGGCATGTGCAGGGAAGGTTCTGCAAGCAGGCTGAAGCCTTGGCACCTTGAGAGCCATGTCACTTGGTTACCATCATTCTTGGTGGCCATTCTAACATCTGAGGGTCATGCTAGGAAGAGGCTTCTAGCCTTGCATCGGGTGGCAGAGCATCCAGGAGGCAGTGCCATAGGAAATGCTGCCACAGTCCTCTCTCTCCCAGATTAAACCTGCTCTGACAATGCAGCAAAGATGAACACACATCTGCCACCCTGTACTCACAGAGACAGCACACAAGCTGGCCCTGCACAAAGCCCTAGCAAGTAAGAATCTACTTAGTGGGGTCTGTCCTAGGAGAGAATCTCTAAGGAGATGTATGGGCAAATAAAGGTGTGTCACAGGAGAGAAGCATGCCCTTATTTTCCTACATACAAGTCCCATGAAAGTTAATGGGACTTTATGTCACATTAAATGGCATAAAGAGTGATCCTGACTCTTCCAGGAAAACCTAATGTACGGCTGAGGTTTTTACACTCATGGGTACTTAGACTCATAGGCCACACTTCTATGTGTGTTTTTTTTTTTTTGAGAGCCCCTTCCCAAGGATATGCAGTCAAATAGGTATCCCCTGGACCCCATGAGGAAGCAAAGTTGACTTACCATCCCAATGCATTTTCTGAGGATGCTCCAGATGCTGAAGTCGTTTCTGGAGAACATAGGTGATGGCAGGCTTGTTCTGAGAGGAAAAAAAAAACTTCATTTTTAATGCCAGTGACATTGGAAAGAAAAATATGTTGTCATTGACCTGAGTGTAGCCACACACATGTACAGACACATTACAAAAATGTGCATTGTCATAGTCAGGGCAAAGTAGAAGCCATACCCGCTCACCACTGCTCTGACCCCTGATATTTTCAGAGCAGATAAACAGGCCCTTTGTCTTCAGTGCTGTGATGATTGTAGTTCCCTCAATCTTTCCTGGACCTCAGAGTAAGGCCAGATCATCTTACTCTAGAGAAGCCCCATACATGCTTCTGTGTGCAGGCATATGTATACTTCTGCTATCTGATTCAAAACCCAGTAGCCATACTGTGACCTAGCAAACCACCACACTCTAGCCAACTGCTGGACACAAAGCGCCATCCTAAAGCCTGCTGCATTTTAGAAATTAAGTGAGAAAATACTAACAAATTATCAAAACAGAAGCACAGCTGAAGCCCTGCATTATATAATTCAAACTTGCCCAGGGCACTGAACACGAAAAGAAATTGAGATACCCCCCTATACATTATAAGAGTCTTTAAAAAGCAAACCTTGACAGAGGGAGCATTTTCAAGGCCTCAGCAGAGATAGAAGCAAGACAGACCATACTTTCAATAACAGGGGGTCTCCAGCTTGGATTTCAGGCAGTCAGAAGGCAGGCCTGGTAGGCAGAGTTCCAAACCCACCCCAGAGATCAGAACAGCAGTCCTATGGTAGGGAAGGACAAGTCGGCCAGGTCAGCTTTCTTGCCAAGGTGACAAGAGCTGCCAGATTTCTAGCTGCCTTTTGAGAGACATTCACATGCAATACTCAGAGTACTACAACGTGTGCTTACAATCCCAGTACCTGAAATAGTGAGGCAGGAGGATAATGAACAGAGAGGTTATTCTGTCTCCAAAAACAAAGCAAGGGGCTGGAGAGAACACTGAGGAGGAAATAGCACTGGCTACTCTTCTACAGAACTTGGGTTTGGTTCCCAAACCCACATGCTGGCTTACAAGTACCTGTAACTCCATTTCTAAGGAATCATATACCCTCTTCTGGTGTCTGCAGGCACCAGGAATGCATGAGGCACACTGACATACACACAGGCAAAACACCCATACATACAAAATAAATTTAAAAAGAAAACAGCTACCAACAAAACTCAGAATACCCAACAAAACTGTTATCTTTGAAAGAACCCCTACATCAATTTGAACTATAATGGGATTTTCAGTCTGAAAGCAAATACTACTTAAAACGCTATCATGGTGAAATTCTTCTAGCTTTTTCTTTCAGGAATATATACTGTTCATTCAGAAGAGTCTTCAACCAGCTGATATTCTAGAGCTGTGGCCACAGCCAGTATCTAAACGACATTCTCCATTTACCATGAGTGCCAATCTCTGCGATGTGCACAATTCATCCCAGGGGCACAGATCCCTAACACTGTTGCCACAAGAATTCGTAATACAGTGTTATCCATGTACATAAGCACGCCTTCCCTCTCCTGTCTATGGAACAGATTGAAGTGTAGTAATACCTTGTCAACTGTAATCCTGAAGTACGCTTCACACAGACTGAAGGAGGGCTGGGATTACCCACAACAAGGGTTTACATTAAGTGTATAGGCATGTGCTACTGTTCTGACTGGAGACAACAAGAGTGGCAAGAAAGACAATAAATGTCTTGGAAGTATGTGTTTGTTACAGGCTTGCTACATACCCAAGGCTGGTTTCATACTCTATGTACTCCTGGCTAGTCTTGAACTCTCAATCTTTCTGCCTTTGCAGTGTTGTGATTCCAAGTATGTACCATTACACTGGATCTCAGAGGTATTTTTTAAAAAGAGAAGAAGATAAAGAACCTCAAGCCTGGTAATTATTAACCATTTAGAAATTGCCATAGATTTGCCACTAGGAGACCCACTTGGGATATCCTTTACTTTTCCTTTTACAGTATTTTATGAAAATATATCAATTACTTGTTTATGAGGAAGCCAAATTACTAGCAATAATACGTATGCCAAACAAAAGTACAGAGCAGAGGTGGGAGGGATTCTGAGTGGGAACTTACTCCTACAGACTACTGGCTTCTTCTGTGGGACATGCAGAGTCAGGTGCAAACCATATTCAGCCCACACTGTGCTATGTGTTGGTCAGAAACTATGAGAAAAATACTGGCCTACAAGAATAAATGCTGTGAGCCGGGCGGTGGTGGCGCATGCCTTTAATCCCAGCACTTGGGAGGCAGAGGCAGGTGGATTTCTGAGTTCGAGGCCAGCCTGGTCTACAGAGTGAGTTCCAGGACAGCCAGGGCTACACAGAGAAACCCTGTCTCGAAAAACCAAAAAAAAAAAAGAATAAATGCTGTGGAGAAGTCTTGGTTTAACAATGACCTCAGAATCGTTGACCATGATCTAAGGCTGCCAAGGCTGCCAGGAAGACAGGTGCAACAGCAGACTGTGCAGGAAGGCACAGAGCCAAACAGCCCAAGAGCCAGACAAACTGGGACCCAGATCTGGTGCCATTTTCAACAGCCTCCTTAACATTGATTGTTATACAGGAAGACTTACCAGAAAACGTGTCTAGAAAACATGACTAACTGGTAGTGAAGGAAATGTGTATTCTGGAAGAACACAGGAAAAAGGAGGTTAGGGGACAGGAGGCACAGCAGGGGCCCTGGAGTATACCACTTGGGGTGACAGGTATAAACACCCCTGGAATACCCCTACTGTCCCATCCTCTCTGAAACTGTCTCTTTCACCCTTCTCCACAGCACGGATAATATGACACCTGCATAATTTCTTGTCTAACCATGACTGTGACCTAATCAGTATGGAAGTTCCCAGGTTTTATGGACTGCTACAGTAAATGCCTAATACAGGGCCTAGTACAGGAGAGAGTGTTTGCTGGATAAACCCTGGATTGTATTCATTTTTTTCTTCTAGAAAGTATTTGGTTTTCGCTGTATTCAAGACAATAGAAATCATACTACAGATTCAAGGAGATGTTAGAGTCATTGGCCTGAAGAAGAGAAGGAAGGTCTGAGGAAGGGTTTCTGGCAGAGGCTGCATCAGGCACAGCATGGAAAGCTGATCTGCACCAAGGAAGGCTGTGTTGCTGGACAGCCTACAGAGAACAAGACTGACCACACGGAGTTATCTGCCCAATGCTGATGATGTCAAGGGTATGCAGTCATTCCTGCTAGATGAACACAAAGAGAACATTACACAGAATTTCAAATGTAGCAAGATCCAGGTTAATCAAGTAAAAAGGAAAGAAACAAACTAATTTTGGTCTTTATTGTGCAGGGAACTATAGAATGCTCTAAAACCGCTTATGCTGAACACCTGGCTCAGAGCCAGCAGCACTTCTTCTGCAAATTTAGGAGGAAAAGCTTAGTTGGAGGAAGTTGGCAATGGGGCACGCTTCTGAAGGCTACATGGGGTTCTAAGTCCTGTCCTGAGTCACCAACTATAACCAGAGGCCAGAACCAAGAATGCCAAGGACCAAAGACTGAGTCCTATGGGACAAAGAACTAAATAAACCTCTCAAGTTTTAAAATGTATTCATTGAGAATATCTTAAATGTATATAATATACTTTGATCATATCCACTCTCTAACTTCTCTGGGAATATCTCCACCATGTTTTCCCTTCCAACTCTATGCCCCTCTCCAAATAATCCCAAGTCCAAAAACAGTACTGCCCAAATGTGCATGGGCATCAGCCACCTACAGAAAGAAGGGCAATAGGGGACATACCCCTGAAGAAAGCTGACCCTGCTGCCCTCGGCAGCCATCAGCTGTTAATAGCTCTTTAGGTATGGGTGGGGCGGCAGTGGCCCTCCCCACCTGAGCATGTATGTGGACAGACTTGACCTTGAGAGATATCAACAGGAATCAGCCACTGTAGTGAAGAAGCTGACACTGTAAGACAGTGCTGCAGCTAGAATATCAGCATTTTAACATGCATCTTGCAAACAATTCACATGGTCTTTAAAATGCAGTGCATTTTACACTAAGAACATCACCTTAGCTATGAGCTCAAAGTGAACTTCAGCTGCAATGAGTCAAGAGTGCACAGTGGAGAGACATGCTGCTGCCTTACAGCCTACACTAGTGAAAATGTCAGCTGCACAAGTGCCACGGCTCAGCTGCACCAGCCACGCATGCATCAACAATGCAAAAGCCACTGAACAAACACCAGCAGCTGCCCTGGGTGGACTGGATCCCAGTGATTACATCTTAAAGATTGTGAAGAAAGAGAAAGAAATTGGTCAAGAGTGCAAAGTGGATGAGGACACAAGGAAACACACAAGGAAATGTCAAATCTACAGAGCCAGTGCACAGAGGGAGGGGGGAATTTAAATAAGGATATGGTAGATTACGTTCAACTTATTTGTATCGTATGCTTCTGTATATTAAGATTTCCATCAGGAGTATGTTACTGGATGGCAGTATTAGCTCAAGGCAGGAGTCAGGAGTCAGAATGGTTCAGCAGGGAGTACAGAGTGGCTATTCTCTTCCCCTGGAGTCCATCTGAGGGGCATTATCTTGCAGGCTAAGAAAAAACAATCCACTGTACCAGGGGCTGACACTGTTCTGCCTGGCTCAGTTTTGGACTACACAGAGGATATCATGTCTACACAACAAACCACTATCTGGATTTTGAATGAGAAACCGCCTTGGTTTGTTTTAACTGTGTAATGGTGCTGTCCCTGCCTGTCCCACCATGATCCCCTGCACCACACTCTGGCAGACAAGTCTAAATGAGCTGAACCAAATGAGTTTATGAAATCTGATGAAAGAATGCTGACCCCCAAAAATCTCTTTGTGAGGAAAACTGTGCCAGGGCCTCTAAGGCATCTCCTCTTTCCTGCTTCCAAGCTTTGACCCATCCTGGGACAGCTGAAACCCTAAGAGAACTTCATAATACCCAAAGATCCATCCACCTGCAGACACCCCTGCCCTCCTGTTTGTGTCCCATGG